GTTATGGTTTGGTGCTTTGTGGATACTCACTGCTATTTTTGGCCCAGTTGTGTTCCATTGATTATCTCCCTGATGGTTTGTGTTGTGTTTTGTTATTGATTGCTTGCTGTCGGCTCTTTTGTATGCTTCACCATTGGAGTTCTAGTGGCAGGATCGAGGATATACGTCAGGATGAATCTACTGGATGTTGTCCACATATCGTTTGTCTTTGTGCTGACTTTCATGGCATACCTTGCCTTCCTGTCGTTTCTAGACCACCAGACGATCCGATCGTTACGGTTTTTCAGCGAATGCCGGAATCTGACGACTGCCTCCCCGCAAACCAGATGGTGCAAGGCGTAGTACTCGATTCCCGGAGCTAGTAGTGTTGTTTATCCTACGAGACGTTGTTGTGATGTAGTGTCGTTCTTGAAGTCTGGGCAACAAAGGGTGATCTGAAGGTGCTGGGAGTGGGCGTTTGGCCTACCCTTGAAATATGAGCAATCCTCGTGATAGGGACCATGGCTACTCCATCTCGCCTTTCCCTGTCACCATTGTGCTTCTTATGTGCCCACCTCCCGATTTCCACGCTCTTGTCTGCCACTTCCACCTGCCTATTTCTTTTTGCAGTTTGGTCGGCAGGCCCCCAGCATACCTATAGCTGCCCAACGATCATACCAGCTCTCCCTGCTTCATGCATCTTTAGTATGATTGCAGCGGATGTTTGGCTTTGGCTCCATGGGATCTTCCTCTTCATAGTTGCAGTTATCTTTTCTTGGCAGGGTTCCTGATCGGATGAGGAGTGGTAGTCATATTGCACGTTGATGTTTGTATTCATTTCGCCGTAGTCAACGTTGTCGTGGTTTTCCTTCGGATTATGCCGACAATGTCTGTCTTCGTTGTTGTACGAGGGATATGATTGGTTTTCATGCGAGTTGTATTAAACGAGAGTTGTCGGGGGGTCCAGGGGCAGAGGTGCTCTCGACGTATGGTTACATGACAAGGCAGGATAGGCAAAGGTGATCGGGGGATGGTTGAGCGGAGTATTTTGGGTAGATAGGTTGCTGATTGGGGATGGATATCGCAAGGAGATGAGTTGAGCCCCTACTTTATCTTGGTTTGGGTGTTGGGAGAGATACGTAATGACCGTTCCCATGGCTCATTAATACAGTTTGAGGGCAGTTCATGCGTAGGAGGACTCAATGAGGGGTTGGGGTACATAATGAGTAACCGCAGTACCTTTTTGTTGGCATGATGGTCTGGATGGTTCTGCCGTGTATACGCTTCGACGAGTTTGTTGTGATGTTTCGGGTTGGTATGCTGGTGATAAAGTGAACAGCCATGCGTCTGTGACAAAAAAATGTGGATTATCTTAGCGGTAATGGCAGCGATAGTGCTAGGAGCCTTGGCAGGTTGTGCGTTGAGAATTCTACCGTCATGGAGAATTACAATTTCTTCTTGGTTGTTGTTACTACAGTGACGGGATATTGGGTAAAGATGATGGGCTGTTTGCTTGGATCTCTATGCTAAGAGTCTTGTACCAGTTTGCACGAATATTTCCCGCTTGTGGTTGTGTTGAGCAAGGTTGTATTGCAGGATGTTTGATGTTCCATTTGCCTTGAACTCCTGTACGTTTCAGCTGAGGAATGAATGTTGTTCTTTGACTTCGCCGTTACCCGCCTTTGTACTATGCATTTTTGGAAACGGTATAGCTCTCCTCGTGATGTTGTTCTTTTATCGCGAATCGTGACACAGCATGCTGTGACTATGTCGCAGGAGCCACACATATAAAAGGTAACACACACACACACACACACACAGACAAACGCTCACGCACTCTCTCTCTCTCTCTCTCTCTCTCTCTCTCTCTCTCTCTCCCTCTCTCTCTCTCTCTCTCTCTCTCTCTCTC